ATCTGTATTCAGATCACAATTTAATCGAATTCTGTTTCTCCAGACGTATGCTTTATTTTGCTTTCAATAATGTTTTAATTATTTATCATATTATTACATAGAATGATTGTCATTAGGTTTTATTTTACTCGAGGGATTAAGAAGAATTGTGGTCATCGTCGATGGCATTAATTGCAAACAGTAAGAGTCCTATATTATACGTTGTTGTCAATTTATTCAATTCTTTCTTTTAATTCCACTACGTAAATTGCAGGTAACGGAATGGAGGAGAGAGAAAACGCGTCTAAATGACTGGGAATACGAAGCCAGCCCGTGATTCTGGGGCTTCAGCGGGTCGATAGATCGATCGTACTTCCGGAGTCGACAACACGTTACACAGATATTTCATCGGCTCATCCCATATCAGCAACACCCGCCGTGATAAGTCACGCTACGAAGCCGCCCACATTTCAAATGGTGCTTCTGCTTCTCTATCCCATCGTGAATCGACGTCCAGACTGCACCTCTCTACGACTTCTTCCTGCCAAAACGCTCCAAATACGGTTTGCTGCGTTCATTTTGTCATCGAATATCGTCGCGTGACGTTGTGCGTTCCGATGGTGAGTCGTGATCGTTAAAAAACCGGCAACACGAGTGAATCAGGAAATCTTTCATCCAGGAGACAATCACCAAGGAGCGAGAACATATGTTTCCAGTGATCTTCGTCTAGGTATCGTCCTCATCTCTAAAAATTTACGATGTGTATACGTTAATTAACTCTGATACGCAATGCTGTGTAATTTATGCAAATTCCACGGTTTCGAGAATATTCGAAGCATGATTGCATCGCTCGGACCGGTCTAAATTAATGTTTTTGTCACCTTGGAGAGTTTCTTTCTTTTTTTAATATTTTGCTTATTAATTATGTACTCCACTGACGTCGTCCTTGAAGTATGTTCGAGAGGCTAGACTATCGAGTATTATAACGTAATGCATTATCAATGTAATCCTTTCGGTTTCATTTCGAGTTAGAAGTTGCAGAAAACTTTTATTGTTTCGAGGAACGAATTACGACACAGAGACAGTTATTTTTCGCACTGACTAGTTAGCGTGGATTAATTTAATTCTATTTATAAAGTTACAGCGAAGAATGAATAGTTTTATGCTCAAAGTAAATTAAAACTATTTATCACTGCTTTTTACGTTTTATATTGAAATGCCCCTGGCAACAGGCAACCCGATATGCACGCGAGTCACGGCGGTAAGCAATATATAGGCGCCGGTTCAGACCGTAATACAAATTTATATAATTTTTGCTCCCCTCCTTTAACATACTTCAAGGCGATAATTATTCAATCACAAGGACCTTAAATTTTTATTCGAATACGATATCGCGTTAATTTTATATTTATCATTTAGTTCCTGACGAGGTTCTCTACTGATCGACACGGAATTGACCTTATCGACAAGGAAAGGACTGGAGGATGAAAATATTCGGCAAATTGTTTCACAGCGGGAAGAGAAAAAAGAAGGGACGCGTCGCGAAGAAAGATTTGCTAAGAAAGAAGAGTCACGTGCCTCACGACAGTTTTCTTTTGGCTGGAAGCCAATCTAAAAGACATAGGCGGAGGGAGAAGGTGAGCAAACCGTTTGAAAAGAAAACGAACATAAATAAGTAATTATATTTCGATTAAGGCGTTTAGAAAGTCGAATGACAATTACTCGACGGAAGCAGTATTAGCCGAAATATTTCTCTGCTAAATACTATTTAGTAAATAGATGGGTTTTGTGTAAATATTGCAAATTGCACTTCTCGAAAATATCGATATATTTATAATTTATACAACAAGAAACATTAGTATACATATGCGAACGAAATAAATAGATTCATTGAGGAAAATTAAAATAGAAAATTAAGTATCGAGAATGTAGGAGAAAAATGCTATTTAAGTCGATTCGTGACTCAAAGCCATCGCTGAAGACGCACACAAAGAAAAGCGCCACTTTGACTGGAATATGACACACCTCTCGAGCAGCTGGAATGTGTCGGCGTAGCTCAGGTACCAGTCTTTTGTGTCCTTTATTATAATTTTCTCCTAGATTCGCAGGTAGCACACAATATTTTACGCAATTCAGAACAAGTGCAACACGGGGCTAAAATGAAAAATTTTTCTTTCAATAGCTATAATGCAAAGCAAAATTCAACGTACGTATACAGTCAGTTCCAGAAGTATTTACACCATATCTCTTATTAAATTTTGTTTAAATTAAATGATAGGATTGATGTTTTTAAAAAAAGGTATCGTTATTAATATATACATGAATTTATGTTCATATACGTATATATTTATACATTATTTTTATATATATTCATAACGAAACACTTATTTGTAAACGTCAAACGTATCATTTAATTCATATAAATTTCTCCGATAGTTTCGTGTGTTTACTTTGCAACAACCTAACCTAAATAGTAAATCATACATATATCGCCCGAGTCGGCAAATCAATTTCCATCTTTCTCCCATAATTATTGCCTACTTCGTACGCATGCCAATTTGGCAACTTTGAACATCTCGCACTGGACCGTGCATGGTATGTGCATTCATCGTCTTTTATGCGCACGTGCGTCTCGGCCGACGTAACTTTCACATAACGGGTGTTTCAAACAAGACGAGTACACGCCGTCTTGCAGAACAAACAAACTGTAAAAAAGAAACCTATTTAAGAATGCGTGTATTACAAAATGGAGAAATTAAATTCTGTGTCTTTGTATATTCAATCGCTTGTAAGTCTTTAACATTTTGTGTTAAAACTTAAGATCAGTCTAGTCATCGATCTAATCTCTGATTATAGTGTACGTATATGCACACATATAATTTAAGTCTCAACCTGGTGGCAATTAGAATGTATTTATACGAATATTGTACTTGTAGGCCGATCGTACACGGGCGCAACTGATCAGTTTCAAACCACTTTGAAATTACATAGTTGCATGCGACCGTGGATCTAGGTAAAACAAAGATAGTTGAGTAGGTAAAACAAAGAGCGCGAACGGTTTGCAATATTAATTTCAAATCTGTCGCGCCCGTGTGCGTTCGGCCTTAAGGGTGTCTCAAAAATGTTGAAGATCCTTGAAAGGGGTGGTTCGGGAGGTGATTTGAAACAACTTTTTCCTTAGCGAAAATGTTGTCCGAGGCTTCGTTAAGGAGATATTAAGAAGAGAAAAGCTTGACCAATCAGAGCGCGAGTATGCCGGTTGAGCGTACGCTACGCGCTAGACGGCCGCTCGAATGGTATAATCGCGCTCTGATTGGTCCGGGGTTTTTTGTTAATATCTCCTTAACGAAGCCTCGGACAGGATTTTTGGTAAGGAAATAGTTTCAAATCACCTCCCAAACCCTATCAAGGTGTTACAACATTTTTGGGACACCCTGTATAGGTTCATTGTAGATAAATCAGTTCGAGAACATACAAGATTTCTAATTTAACGTAACAAAAGGTATAAATATTTTACTCGGCCTAAATTTATAAATAATTGAAAATGCAAAGGCAAAGAATGAATTTCACGAACAAATCACCTCCCGAACCACCCCTTTCAAGGTGTTACAACATTTTTGGGACACCCAGTATAGCTTCATTGTAGATAAATCAGTTCGAGAACATACAAGATTTCTAATTTAACGTAACAAAAGGTATAAATATTTTACTCGACCTAAATTTATAAATAATTGAAAATGGAAAGGCAAAGAATGAATTTCGTGAACATGAATGAAATTCAATGAACATTTAATGAATAACAAGTGAAGTTGTCCTCTCGAGATCGGGCCCATCACTAGCGAAGCCGAAAACCGGTGCGCAGGCACGCGTATGCTACGATGGCCCCCCACCACTCCCCACTACACCCCCCGGTCCCCGTTGCGCAGGTTCGTCAGTCCCCACCAGCGTCCCCCCACTCCTCGCGACACGTTCACTCGCGACCAAGCTCCCGGTGAGTCTGTACGTGTCCCGTGCTCTTCCCCGCAGCCGCCAAGCCCGTTTCTCATCCGATCTCTGCGTTCGACCTGCCGCGGCCAAGCCACGCTCGGCGAGCTACGCGCCGATCTTCGGGGAAAGAGAATTTCTTTACTTTCCGTGGCGTGATTAGCCTCTCTACTTTTATTAACGTTCGATCAGTGCGTACCGAGACGGGTTCGCGTGCGCGCTAGTAAACGACCATCGACACCAGAAGTTTCTCGTCGTGAATCTCGAAGTGGAAGTTAATCTCGAAGTGGTGTTAAACGTTGTGTGTGCCTCGCGTTTGGAATTCCGATACGTGGATATTCTATTCCAAACGCTGTAAGATTTACGTGCCTCTACACTTTCGACATCACGCGAGACGTTTTCTCGTTTACGTTTTTAAGGATTTTGGAAGGTATGGATGTTAGATGACCTTCGCCTCGATTTTTTTTTTTTTTTACCATCCTTTCTTTTACGTTTAGAGGATGGAGTTCGATGGCTTTTGCAGGAGTACATGTAGTAGAATTCTATGGGATTCTATAGGATTCGTTGACGCGAGGATTTTTAGCGTAGATGTAGTTTTAGTTTAGAGGAGAAGACGAACTGTGAAGATTTCATGGTACAGTTCGGTTTTCTTACGTTAAATTTGATTTCTGTTCAATTAGTATGGATAAGTTTGAAGCAGTAATTGTATTAACGACGTTCGATTTTCAAGTGTAAACAATTGCTGAGATTTGGGATCGATGTGAACGAAGCATTAAAAGTTTTCGTTTATTCGATCTTTAAATGCAAACTGCTGAAATTTTAGATCGAACGATGCCTAAAAAGTTGAAAAACTAAAGATCTAAAGATGTTTTAATCGCGATCGTCGAGTCCTTCTTTGTTGGATGTCGAGGAAGTCGCGGTGCTTCCTTTGGTTTCCGAAAGAATTTTCTCACAGTTCTTTAGACGGGACGAGGGTGACTCGGATCATTGGAATTCGTTCCCTGCTGACACAACGTGGTAGCGAGTTTTCAAGCGTAGCGAGATTACTTTTCACTCGAAGTTTCCCCGCTTGCTCGGTATACAAGTTCTGTTTACAAGTGGTTCGAACTTGTCCTTGTAGATCCAGATCGAGTTTGGAAAATGGTAGTTCGGGTTATGGAACGAAACCGTGGAATACCGAGGGCGCAAAAACTCTCAGATTCTATAGGCAGAGATGAGCAAAATCCTAGTCCTCGATAAATCTGAAGTTTGTCGATATGTTTGTCTCGTTTCTTCTTTTGAACATTTTCCAAAGAAGGAAACGAGAGAAACACATTGGCAAACTTCAGATTTAATCGAAGCCTAGGGTTTTGTCCATCACTGTAGGTTGCATCTCTGTGCAACAAATGGTGATTTTCTGAAGAAATTCCACCTAACGTTAACTTTTAACCCCATACGT